CTTGCCGCGACATAAAAACGGAAGCATTAAACACACCTGCTCATTATGAACATCTGCTCCACCTGGCTTGACCTGACCCAATCGATATTTCACACAATTTAACGTGAATATTTAATGCGCATTTATTCAAAGACTAGCCCCAGTTTAGCTGTCGCCTTACAAATCGTCTAGTCCTACTGCTATAGCAGATCCCAGCTCATTACCCAAGTTCCCTGATCAAAATTCACCTCCATTAGAAGCTGATATCCATTGCTAGCCGACCTCTACTCGAAACTCAAAGCGAAGCTTTTTTTTAGGGACTAAATTCCTTTGAAACTGTCTTCTCACTCCATCTATACTAAAGTCACTTTTGTTCTAGACTCTTTGCTTTTCCAGACCCACTTCCATTCCAATCTCAATTCCATTCAAGGCTCACTTTTATTCCCGACTCACTTCTGTTCCAGTCTTACTCCTATTCCAGACTCTCTCCTATTCCAGACCCACTTCTGTATCAACTTCACTATTATTCCAGGCTCACTTCTGTTCCAAGCTCATTTCTGTCATAGACTCACTTCTGATTCAAACTCTTTCTTATTTCAGACTCACGCCTATTCTAAACTCACTTATTAATTTGCCAATCACTATTATTTTAGGCTCACTTCTGTTCCCAGTTCAATTCTGTTCTGGACTCACTACTATTCCAATCTAACTTGCACTCCAGATTCACTTCTGATTCAAACTCTTTCCTATTTCAGATTCACTTCTACACCAACCTCACTTCTATTCTAGACTTACTTCTTCTATACCAGACTCACTCTTATACCTCATTTCTGTACCAATCTCACTCATATTCCAGGTTCATTTTCATTTCAGCTTGACTTTTGTTCTAATCTCTTTCCTGATTCACATCTATACCAATCGCACATCTGTCCCAGACTCACCTCTATACCAAACTCACTTCTATTCTAGACTTACTTCTTCTATACCAGACTCACTCTTATACCAACCTCATTTCTGTACCAATCTCACTCATATTCCAGGTTCATTTTCATTTCAGCTTGACTTTTGTTCTAATCTCTCTCCTGATTCGCATCTATACCAATCGCACATCTGTCCCAGACTCACCTCTACACCAACCTCACTTCTATTCTAGACTTACTTCTTCTATACCAGACTCACTCTTATACCAATCGCACTTTTATTTTAATCTCACTTCTATTGTATAAAAACTATACCAATCGCACTTATGTTTCAAGCTCTTCAGCCAGCTTAACCCAGTGGAAGGTTGAGCCATCGATTTAAGATATATGAATTTCGCACATTCAGTACTCACCAGATAAAATTAAAATTTGCCTAATCGAATTATTTAATGTGCACGAAAATAAATGTTGAAAATAAATAAATAAAAAATTTTGCTTCGAGCTGTGTATTTCTCTATTTTACTTTGTAGACTGAACTGGAAATGGAGCTGCCCGGGCTGCCTAGGAAAATTTCAGTGACAGTAAAGCCAATGCTAAGTTGATCGAGAAATTTTTCAACGTTTGTGACGTCACTTTATACCAACTAACCAAATCGAGGAAAAAACCGAATTTGCTCAAATATACGAATTTTAAACTTTCGATACTCACCAGATGAAATTGAATTATCGCAAAATCTAAATATTTGAATGTGAGCGAAAATAAATGTTACAAAAAAAATAGAATAATATAAAATTTTGTTTAGAGCTGTGTATTTCTCTATTTTACTTTGTAGACTGAACTGGAAATGGAGCTGCCCGGACTGCCTAGGAAAATCTCAGTGACAGTAAGGTCAATGCTTCATTGATTGGAGAATTTTCGCTAGTTTTGATATTATATAGAGAAATTTACCTCAGCGACAGCTATTTCAATGCGCAGCTGATTGACTATATATTTCATAGTTTACTAAAAATGGATATGTCGTAACGTTCATATTATTCTCGCTTTCCACTAAAACTCTGCACATGAACGAGTTCTCTGTTTCGTAAGCTCTTGCTCGTTCCACAGCGTAGACCCTTTTCTAACTTGTTCTCCTTTGTTCTGGTTGCATTCCTCTTGATTATCGAATCTTGATTATCAACAATCCGGAACTACGTCCCTCAACAGTTATAGTGGCAATACATCCGTTAGTTGCTATTGATATGCCAGCTCATTCGGATAATTCCTCAAATGCCACAGCAATTTCATAATATCACACCGATACGACACGGACATTTAGACGTCCCTATTTAATCAGTCTAATCAATGTGTAGTACAACCACTTACGATGTCATTGACTTGAAATATACATTCATCCAGTAGAATCCGGTTATATACCCGGAAGATGTCTGAACCGTACAAGTTTAATCATATAAGTTTGTCTGGGGACAAACGGACGATGTACGGACGCCATAAACGCAGTCGCTATAACCGGATATATACATTTCTATTATATATATATTATATATATTTTTATAAATATATTTATATTTATATTATTATTCTACTGCCTGCTGTAAGCTTTAAAGCATTGTCAGACTGTACTTTAGCGATTTATCTGTAATTATTGAACTATTAGTGGGTATACATGGAATATACACAACGGCGTTGCGAGGGGTCGTGAGGTAGGTGTGACACCGCCTCCTCCTCAGTGTTTTGCCAGAGTTGGCAAATCAGCAGATTTTGTTGACTCTTTTCCCTGAAGCCATTGAAATGTACATATATATTTATAATATAATATATATATAAATATGTATATATTTTTTTAAATTTATTTAATTCTGTAATTGCCAAATGAATCGCCATTCGGAAGTCAGGATATTGATTAACCCAATTACGAATATTAATTAATTTGTGAAGTCTACATGCAATTCAATAAGAATCATCCCCCATTATCAACATACATATACATATGTATACTAGACTGTATATGTATGTGTTTATTCTATAACTAAATAAAATCGCTAATTCCCCAAATTGTGGAGCATTTGCGGTCAATTGGTATTCGCACCTTGATCGAACAGCATATTAAATGCATTGTTTGTACTACAGCACACACACACACACACACACACACCTGCATATGTGTTTGATTTGGGGAGCAGCTGTATTATGGCTGGAATTTGACAGAGCTGCATAAATCGAGCCGAGTCGAGCAGCGAAATGCGGAATTTATTGCGGGGCACGTTTAAAATATTTCATTTTGTTTCAAATAAAAATGTGGTAAATTCAATGAATGTCTGTCTGTCTGTGTCTGTGTCTGTGTATGCGTCTGTATGTCGAGAGTGTGAAATAGACCATGCCCAGCCTTGACCTAATCAAACTGAATATCAAAGCAAAATATTTACAGACTAAAATGCAAGAGAGAGAGAGAAAGAAAAAGAAAAACACTTCAAAACATTTGCAAACAACACCTCAAATACCCTGTAAATATAAGCTGACGGTTGGTTTAGCTGGTTTGTGAAAATATTTAGCTAATGTTATTTGTAGTTGCTCAAATGTAGCTTAAATACCCTGTAAACCAGAGTGTGAGCATATTAATGCATATATATAACATATCAAAATCAAATCTAGTGTTTCGAGAGCTATAAATCAGCTTTAACAACCAAATCTGACGAGACAAGTAAAAAGAATTTGATTTCTGATTTTCTTAGCTTTTCCTACTTCTTGAGTTCATTTTTGCATATCGCTCGGAACTGTTAATAGGGTATATGGCCTCGTCTATGGCCAACCACAAGGGCAGCTCTTTCGTGTCGTGTTTGAAGAATCTTTGAGGAAAAGGAAAAGCTTCCGCTCACAATCCATTAAAAGGCGCAAATGGCCAAGTGCGAAATAACAAATGAGACTTAGCCAAACAATGGGAAACAGCCTGCAATCGGGTGCTATCGACTACCTAATGCTTGTTCATACAAAATACAGAAATCTAGGGCAAAGGCGGGCATCGAATTTCATACTGCAATTGTAGAGGGGGAGGAGCTGGAACATAAGGAGGAGGAATATGGCGGAGGACGATGGGAGAGGAGGAGGAGGAGGAGGAAGATGAGGAGGATGAGGAGATGAAGGAGGAGAAGGAGAATCTTAACCAATCTAGATATATATGTATATATATCCTGATAGATATATGTAGATGTATATATACCGTTGTGTTCATAAAAATACTAGTGCTTGATGTAAGAAGTTGGTAAGAAAAACAAAAGCAAAAGCAAAAAAAAAAAACCCTAAAAGAATAAAAAAAAAAAAAAAAAAATAAAATTAAAGAAAGAAAAGAATTATTTAAGCGTAAGCTATACAAATTTGTATTATATTTAACTAATTAAAATATATCCGAATGGCAATGAATTCAGGTATATATGAGCCATGCATACCCGAGTGTATACGCTGTACACATATCAACACTCTAGTTCGCCAACCAACTGTTGCCACGCCCTCCCCTTTTGGCATATCAAATCAATTGAATCTGCGAATAGCAAGAATTACAGTGCACAAAGCTCAAATATTCTAAGCACTAGGTAAATACGTATAAAATGCCTTAAATGGGGCTCAGGCTATGAAGAATTGGGTTAGATTCGACTATAAATTGTAAATATACATATGCATATATAAGAATCAGTTACCAATAGTGCAAATGAAATCAAATGAAACCCAAAAATATATCTACAACTTAATAAAATTTGAACATATTTCAGCAGTTTCTATATCAACATATTGCCCATAAAGCACGATTAAGGCATAGTTCGATAAATTGTTTGTCCATCTATTATATATTTTATGTACTTTTCTGCGTGTGCGTGTGTGTGTGTTAACGGATCTGAATGTGCTTAACGCTAGTTTATGCAGCCAAAAAGCATGCCTAAAATGAATTCCATTAAAGAGCAAAAGTACCGTCAGTCACGCACGCATGGCGCCTTCCAGTGCTCTGTGAGGGAAATTTGCACTCTTTGTGTTGTCGAATGGACAAACGGAAATTTCCCTTAAGCAAGGAGCCGGCTATAAAAGCGCGACAACAGCGCTGCGGCGGCTCACAAAGCGACGGCGAACGCGACGCGGCAGTTGCCACAGCACCAAGCCAAAGGTGAAGCAGCGAGTGCGTGCGACGACCACAACACGTAAATAACCGTTAAGAGCCGTTAGAACAAGAAAGTAACGGTCCGAACTAGACGCCTATGCAAATAATTCGCGTGCGTATGTGGCTGTCACGCTGAGCTTGTGTGTGCGCGGGTGTTTGTTTGTGTGTGTTCGTTCGTGTTCGTTATTTTTGTTCTTGTGCTCAAATTGCCGCAATAAAAGTGCAAAATTATGTGGCACATGTGAGTGGTGTGGACACGTTGAACGGACTCCAGAGAAGCAGCAGCAGCAGAAGAAGTAGCACAAGCAGCAGCAACAAACCCAAGCAGCAACAATAGCAGGAGCCAACGACCACGTAACGGTACGTTGAGCAACGCGTGCTGTCACCTGAGCAGTGCAGCCGTCCTCTTGCTCCTCCTGCTACTCCTGCTACTCCTCTGGGCTTGAAAACTTTTTAAATCAATTTAATGAGTGCTCGTTTTCTAATTAGTTAATAAATCATTTTTGAATCTCTTTGTCGGCTATAGCCGACTGCATAATACTCTGTATATGGTTTGGTTTTCAATTACAATTGAAGGATTTAGGAAATTTATTTCCTGTTGATCATGAATATAATTAATATCTAATATAAAGTAGAGTACACATATACTTCACCATGCACTTTTCTGAAGAAATATTCTTATTAAAATATAAAAAAAATATAAATTTTAAATTGAAGTATAAAATTCTTAAAAGAAGAAGAATTCTGCTTAATTTATGTAATTGTTCCTTCTAAGATTAGAATTTGGAATATCATTAAAAAAAAATAATAAAATAAAAAAATAAATAAAACAAGGAAAATCTAAAAAAAAAAAAAAAAAAATCATCTTAAATAAATCTCCTAATCAGTTTAGGGAAAATTTAAGCTTAAAAAAAAAAACAAAAAATAAATAAATAAAGAAATACTACAAGTGGTGCTAGTATTTTCAAATTAAAGCTAATACAAGTTTTAATATAGTCATTGTATTTTTATAATTTTTATATAAGTAAAAATTTAAAGAGACAGCCGACTACAGGCGGTCACTGTCATAACGCTGACAGTTCAAAAACGATGGAAGATATAGGCTCATCCAACTGATATTAGGTATTTATAATACGATATAAGCGGAGTCGTTATAAACGGATACTACGGTACTTGTTAATTTCAAAAAGGAAGTCAAGACTATCAAATGAGAGCCTGACTGTAAAAAATTAAAATAATATTCATCAAAGGATTTTTTGTATACTTGAATTTAAATAAAATAAATAAATAATAATAATAATAAATATATAATAATAATGATAATAAAAATAAAGCAAATAATGACAACATATTTTCGTGAATAATTAAGATTGCCATTAAAAATATTAAACTAAATCTAGCGGTAAACGAGATAAACTAATTGTATCTAAACTTTTTTTGTAGTACTTTCGTTTGCTACTGCATAAAATGTTCATAAATAAAACATTTTCATAAGTAAATACTTGTCTTGTACATCAATTAACTTGAATTCATATATTTGCATTTAATTTAAAAGGTATTTTCAACTATTAATGTTTATAATAGTATAATAATAATAGTGTCGCAAAACTTTAATGCCGTCTTACATGTGAATCAAAATTCTAAATTGGAAGTACAAATCAAATATTACTAAATAAACTACTTTGAGAGATTCGAAGATGATATCACCTTATCACTAACTACACTAAATATATACACGTTATGGGGATTGCCACGCCTCTCTGATTTGCCTTTCTTTATGGCTTTCAGGCATTACAGAAATACGTAAAACAAGTTTTGTAATATATGTAGTTATATACAGTTAAATAATTAAAATTTTGTTTAAATAATGCATACAAATACAATATGCAACAATCAATTGTTAGTTAAACAATTCAGATAATTCTCTAAATATTTGATAAACAATGCTAAATTTAAGAATCAGCTGGAATTCATTTATGGCTTTATTAAATATGAGCGCTGAGCGTCGATAGCCTGGCTCTCATTGCATGCATCGTTCACTCAGTTCATTGATGTCGACGACGGCTTGGCCATATTGAAGGTGGCCGCCATTAAAGCCATGTTAGTGGAATCTGTGCGTGTGTGTGTCTGTGTGTGTTGTAGAGGAAGTGTGTCTGGATGACTTTTCTTACATTGTTTGGATTTTCATTTCGATTGGATTCGTTTCCTTTTGGTTTGCGTTTGTGTTCGTTTCATTACATTCCGATTGGATTGAATTCACTTTTGCTGGTAATGAAGCTAGTTGGCATTGGGCATGGCCAGCACACACTCACACTCACACACTCACTGTCTCACACTACTAGTTAACATATTTTTATGGACCCGTTGTCGCCAAAGTGTCCTCTAGTTTCAGCAGCAACTTCAGCTCCGAGTGCCATTTGCTAGCGGTCATAGAGCCGGGGGGCGGGGCGTGGCAGGAGCACTTGGCGGCCTGTGGATTGCCCGCTTGATTGGCCCCTCGAATGGAGTGGAACGGGTGGGCAATAGAAGGCGGTAAAGGGTGGTAGGGGCACGTTTTATGTTCCGCTTCACATATGCCATTGTTTGACTGTGTGTGTGTGCCTCTCTCTCTCTCTCTCTATGTCTGTGTGTGTCCACTATACATCGCACTGTTGCAGAGCTATCAAATAAAACAGGAACTCAGCCAATCTATATATAGCCGCGTGCAACTTGAAAACTTTCGATTGCTCAGTTTTTGTGCAATGAAAATAAATCAGATTCCATTCAGAGAGTCCGACATAAAAGGAAAGAGCCAAGTTGAAAACAAATACGGGCCCTGCAATCAGGAGTGCCCGACTAGGCGATACCCCGCAACTAATGCGAGGAGCTTTGAGTCTATTATATATATGTGTATATATTCTATTCTATATGTATATAATAAATATATATGATATATATACGGACACACAGACACACACTTAAGCATTTGCTCCGCTTACTGTGCAGATTACTCCTTTTGGTCTCCTTGGCTTTTATTTACTATAGGAACGTCTACACGATCTTACTCAATCAAACTTTAAGACCGTGATAATGACCCACAAGTCTCTAGTGTTTGACAAAAAGAGCAATCTAAAATCCGGAATATGCCAAGTTCTAAGTGCATTTCAGAAACTCCCACATTAAATTTGATGTTTCCTTGATCGATAATAAAGAAATGGTATAAGTTTTGTAAGCTCGTAATGCAAATGATTTTTCCTTTTGCATGTTTCCACTTCCTTGGGTTTAAGATAGAATGGAATCGAGTAAAAGAATATGCTAACAATTATGGATACTCGAAATTGAAACACAAATAGTATAGTTAAAGATATTTTGACTTATAATAATATTCTGCACTCTTATAATACTACTTTTCATTTATAGATTTACTTTAGGTTAAATCTATAAAGCTTACTAAGACGCTGAGTTGGAGTCGGCACAGGTGTTAAAAGAGCAGACTGGGTAATTGGATAGATGGCATTGATGAGTTATGATAATAAGTTGAATTATGATTGGCGAATCTTTAGGGGAGAGAGGATGAGATTTGCATTAAGAAAAAAAAAAACTAAAATGAACTCAAATTCATGAAATAAATAAATAGAGTAATACAATTTAGATTTTTTACCGCACAGGCCTATGATTATGTAGAAAAAACAAGCCAAAAAGGGCTTTATTTTATGTTTTATTTAAATGAAATTTGTACTATTAATAACTGTTATGAAGTTTGTGTGCCGTATTTCATGATCAAATGGCATATCACATACAATATTTCAAGAGCTAAATGCCAAAATTAGCTTAAACAGCGGCTTATCGGTTATCGATAATAGTATGACTCTTATTTGGCCAACCCATTGTGCGTAGCTGCGTATGAATGTGATATAGGCTTATGTTCTTTATCTATACGAATAAATAAAATTAAATAATTGAGTTGAAAAATAAATAAATAAATAAATAAAATAATAATCATAATAATACCTAATATTATAGGCTATTGTTACTTAAGAATTCTTTGTTAGTATTAACTAAACTATTATACTATTTCAAAGATTCAAAGATAAGTATGAAAACTATTTGTAGATAACTCGGTTTTAATCTCGAGATCTATGGCATAAACTGGAAATAATTCCGGCATTCATATATAATAACTGTATTCCAAACATTTATTTTACTCAACAATCTAATCTCAATTGCCTGTCAAATTTGACATGAGGATAAATGATATGGTCTTGACAGCTGAGAAAAAGCTGTTGTCAAGAGAAAACTTGACTTGCAGAAGAGGATTAGCCCAGAGACTACACAGCGGGAAGAATTGAATTATTCCCCCTGGAGAGCCAGCACAGACTAAGCCAAGTTGACAACTTGTTGGAGGACAGTGTGGGTGAAGGCGCCTTAAGCGGCGCAGGCTTCATTAGGCGCTTGCCAACACTCAAATAAAGCCCCAGAGGTCAAGCGGATGATTCATTATTGCAATTAGCAGTCAAACCAATGCCTCCAATTTTGCGAATTTCTCTTTGCAGACAGCCGAAACCGCAACAGCAGCCGTAGCAGTAGCCACACGAGGGCGTGGCAAGAAGAAGACGAAAGGGAATTGGAGGCGCGCCTCCAAATGCTCATTGAAATTTACGATTATGCTGCGAAATTATTAAACAATATGACCGCAACAACAACAAGCATCATTAATAATCTAGCCAGCGGGGCGGAAGGGACAGCTGGAGTGGAGGGAGCGGAGCGAACGGAGAGTCCAAATCCCACGACGGCCACAAATCTAACGTCCAAACTGCTGCAGGCGACAACGGGCAACATGAAGACGCTGCTGAATCGCACGCTGGCCACAATGGGCGGCCAGCGTGGCACATTGACCACCCTGCTGCTCCAGGGCGGCCTCGGCACGGACGTGGCCACCGGGCAGCGAATCCGGCAGCTGGCCCATGCCAATGGCAGCGTGCATGCCACGGGCAACGACAGCGACAGCCATGGCCAGGATATGTACAATGCATTTAATGTCACATCGCCGTCGCCGTCGTTGTCGTCGTCCTCAGCGCACTCAGTCGGCTTCATCGAATCCTCGACCACGGCCGCCAGCACAGTGCTGAGCAGCGCCATCACCAATCTGCCAACGACGAGTGGCCCGGCCACCACGTTCCCAACCCAGACGATGGCTACCATCATCGCGGCCGGCAACAAGAATCGAGCCACCACCATTATCCTCTATCCAACGGGTGAGTTCCAAATCACAATTCAGTTACAGTTTGCCCTAATAGCTATATAATGTTTGTTACTTGAAAGAGCAGATAGAGAGGGAGGGAGAGAGAGAGAGAGAGAGAGAGAGAGAGTTGTGAATGTCCTTTCACACATGATGTGCATAAATTACCGATGGAGTAATTCAAGCTCCAGATATCTCCAATTTCAGTTGGTATATACTGAAAACTTGATATGTATTATGCAAATGGGAGCGTTTGGATTTTTAGGATGAGATCAGAATAGTAAACGGTTATATTTACCCTAGTATTTCGGTCTGACAGTCCCATGGTCCATCTGTTCGTTCCATATCCGTTCATCGGTCTGTCCATGGATCCGTTCATCCGATGAGACAGACGGACAGAGGGAAGGACAGGCGAAAGGACTGATGGACGGACATAAGAGCTGAAAAATGTGCGGACAGAGCGACGAATGGACGAATGAAAGGTGATCGGACATCTGTCACTCCGTGCCTCTGTCCAGCAGTACCTCCCTCCATCAGATGCTCCCACCGTCTCTTCTTGTGTCCCTCCTTCCGTTCATCTATCCATCCGCCTGTCCATGCCTCCGTCTGTGTTTAATCCGTCTCGCCATATTCATTCATGCTCTTCTTGGAACTCTATTAATAGAATCGCAAATGTGATTGAATTCTATTTATGCCACATTCCACTTTTGTTGTGCCTTTGCCATTTCCATAGCAAACGTTGCGGCAGAGTCGGTGGCAACGTTGGGTGAAATATTATATATACGACGTATATATATATATATATATATTTTTTTTTTTTTAGCACTTTGAGTGGCGTATTTTTATGGTCGTTTGCGTAGTGAATAGAGTATATCTGTCTGTCTGTCTGTCTGTCTTCATAAATGCAAAGCATTTGAAATTGAAGAGTTGAAAATGTGAATAAATACGCCACTGTGTCATTGGTGCATCGAGCTTGAACATGTCCACGAGTGCATATTCTAGTTGTCACTCCACGTGGGTATATTATGTATGTAGAAAGGTATCTGTTATAATTGCTACCAATCAATGTGGTGACCTAGAAAAATTACGCCATACACGTGCATATTATAAAGCCTTTATATAATTGCAAAAAGCTGGATAAATGGTATCTTCTATAGTCTTAGCGTTAGATATTCGATGACCAAGTCAATGTATAGATAGATTCGATAACTGAGTTGTTATTAGGTTGCTCTATTGATGAAAGCTGATATACGTATGATTTGTATATATGTACTTCTTTTAGCTTGGCTAGCGTGAAGAGTTTTGGATCTTAAGAACCAAAACAGGAGTAGCCCGAAATTATTTAAGGACTACCTGAATTTTGTCTAGATAGTATATGTGTATGTATACATATATCTATATATTGCCTAAATGTGAGTAGAATCTTTGATAAAACAGCTCAGTGGGACTCTCAGAGCATCTTTAAGTTAGGGAGAGCACTCACTCTTTTATGAATATGAATTGAATTCTGCATCGAATTGTATGACTCTGACTCATAAAGCATAAAAGTGTGAGGTGCTAAGAGCATCTACTACTCCATCTGTTCGTTTCTCTTTTGGCGAGCTTACGAATCTTATTTAACACTTAAGCTCTTTGAACTGAACTGAACTGAGCTGAGCTGAGCTGAACTGAAGCTTAACAAATGATTATATTTCTTGACTTGAAAGCAGTAGAGCCCCAAGCCAAACATGATTGGATTTTAGTTGTAAAACTTTTGACGCACTGCCAGCTGCAGAGCACGGAAAACTTTAGTCCTACCAACGACTCTACCAGTAATAGCGACATAATATATTTATAGCATTGTCATTGTTATTCGAAACTATTCCACACAATTGTTTCGGCTAGCTTTGCGCTCATTATAATTGCTAGGCCGGCATGGCTGAGTGCTTGTCCTCCATTAGAAATTGAATAGGTCTCTTTGTCTGGCATGCTTGGTCGAAGCTATGGAGTAACATAATGACAAATGACCTTTGACCTTTGACAAAGCTAGTTGAAGATTCATAGAATTTGAAGACTTATTGACACAAACATTAATACACGACTCCTGCTCAAATGAAAGTCATTTTCCTCTTGAGGGGAATGTGGTGGGGCACAGAAAAATGCGACATTTGAAGAGACAATTTGCATATGTAATGTGAGCATGTGTTTGTAGTTCTCCAAAGATTCGCACTCGGCAGTAAAAATAATGACCTTGTTAAAGCTGACCTCTTCGTTAAAGTACTTACTCCACTCTATTCCCAGGAGTTTTACGCGCGTTTAATTGATGAGCGAACGCTTCATTTGTTAAGTCCTTGGCCAATTGCTTTTTTGGGGCCTGTCAACGCAGCTGGCAGTTAATCATAATTGTGACTTAAGTCCAATTCGGCGCTAAGCTAAATAATGTGGTCAACTAATTCCAGTTCGCCAATTGCCAATCGTCAGTCGGCAGTCGCTTGGCTGCTGATTAGCACGCTTCGCACATCAATTTTTGTCAGTGAGCTCCCTGCCACGCCCCTGGCGGTGCCTCTTCAATAATCAAATCAACTTGGCCTATTTAGACTGACGAACAGACAGCCAGCCGGAGGGACGATCGGACGGAAGGACGCACGGACGGAGATATGAAGGGACGGAATCGCGTGCCAGCCCCAATTAGGGGCTAATTTGCATAATGCCATTCGCTCGCTCGCTCATTATCCCCAATAGCTCCGATAGCAAAGCGCCATCCATACAGTAGACAATATGAGCCCCCGACTTTTTTTTTTTTTGTTTTCCCATAGAAGGCCCTTATATCTTTTAATATACCCTGTTTGCATTGGGGCGGTGTGAAAGGTGGCTGCAATAAACAAAAGCATTTGTACTCCATTCAATATGTCGATGTATATAAAAATATATATGTATATGTTGACTTCTATCTTTTCGTGTATATATACAATTAATCAGTGTGAATATCGACTGTCAATACAATAAATAGCCCCAAGAAGGGTTTATTATATAAATAAGAGAGTATAGAAATGAATCTAGAGGTGGGGTCTAGAAGAGAGTATAGACGACAGGCTAGGAGAGAGCATAGCAAATTAAAGAGAAGTTTGAAAAAAAGAAAGTCTTAGTACAGAATCGATATTTATCGATAAAGATACAGGTTGCATATAATAACATTTATTTTTCAACTTTTTCCTAGTTCTTAACAGTATAGGGATGTCAAACTTACCCTCCGAAGTAGCTCTAAGTTCCAGTGCACCAAAATGTTGATATATAAAATCGTTATAATATAATAACTATAAAAAATATTTAAACAAGTATCTTACAGATTATAGGTTCTATTATAAGAAATCCAAGTATTTCTGGCAGCTCCTAAGTTCCTCGTAATCCTTTCTACATTTTCGCTTGGAGAATGCATCAACTGAGTACAGCAGCTATAAATAGTCAGCTTAATTCGGATGTTAGAAAATCCTGAAGTCATTACACGGTAACCGCGCGTCGAGCATTGCCCGTCTAAGACGGGTATACTTATCTTTGCACTTATGGTAGCAATGCAAGCTTCGTTCGGCAATTGGGGCAAGTGTAAGGGAAAGACAGAGATAGAGAGATCCATACAGTAAGGTATGCAAAGAGAAACAGAGACAGCGACATTGAGTAAAGGAAGTTAGGGGAACAGCTTACGACCTTACGACCCTTGGGCCTAATGCAGCAATTAGGCAAGTTTAAGTCGCATTAATTGCAGAGTTTGGTCGACTATTAACGCGACTCGAACCGTTGATTATTTTAAGCGCCATCAGCTCTCAACTCTGTGCTACACGAGCTTCAGGCGAACCCCTGGAGAGTGGGCTAGGGGGGGAGAGGGAGGAAAGTCACTGAGTGCTGACTCAGTTTGTTCCCATTAAGACAAATCAGAGAGACATCGTCATCGTCGTCGACAACGTTAATATCTCATATCCTAATCGTGACGCTTATCTGTTTATATCAGCAACGCGCAGCGACATTGTCAGCGCTTTCATGGGCCTGCGGCCTGCCTTTATGCAGGGATGAGGCTGGCATCAAAATACTTTTCGACAAAAGCCAGCCAACTTGTCCATTTCCACAGCAACCATGCGGCAAGCAGGCTAACAATGAAACTACATCACAACAAAAGGAAAGTGCGTAAATTTCATTGAATGAAATTGCTTAGACACCAACCGCCCACCAGTCGCCTTCGTGGGCGGTCTCCATGCCACATACAACATACTGCATACGTGCCACAAAAACTATCTGCATGAAACAATTCCTCGAACGGCCATTGCTGCAGTCATGCTGCAGGCCAAAATGCTGCAAGTATTTTGTGCCAGATAGTTGGGCAAATATGTTTGTCGGACTCTTTGCAAGCAGATTGTCTTGCTAGCCGAATACTTGTCACAAATAGTTTCGCTGGAGCGCAAGTTTGCTCGGAAAATAAGCTCAAGCCAAGTAAAAACACCACTATGTGTTTTTATTACGAATAACATAAAGATTAGTGAATAGGTTTAACTAACAGTAAGCTAACTGCTCTACAGCTTCCAGGTCGTAAACTCTGAATTAGATGGTTATTAAGTAACTTAGTCAATCAGCTAATCAGATATTGAGTGAGCTAATCAAGCGGCCAGTAAGCTAATTTCTTACCCAACTAATTAGTCAATAAATACTCAATCAGTCCAAATCCAACCAGCACCCTATCAGACAGTTAGTCAAACAGCTCATCAATCAGACTTTGAGTCAATCAATCATTTACTTTTTTAATCAGTCAACCAATCTGGATATCCTTCCAATAATTGTTTAATCCTGGTTAATCACATACTTATATATAGCTATATAGCATCAGTCAAACAATCAATCAATCATTTATCTAGTCAATGTCAACAGTCAGTCAATCAGCTGAACATTCAATGAGTCAACCAATCAGCTATTCAATCATATCGACTAGTGTGTTGCTCAAGTAGTAATGAATCAATCAGTTAGTTAGTCAATCACTCAGTCATATAGTTCGAA